ATGTTGAAAACCTCTAACAGATCTCCCTCTCAGCCTTCTTCTCTCCAAGGAGAGCATTCCCAACTTCTTCAATCCATCCTCATGGCTGACGTTTCTCATTCCTGGAACCATTCTTGTAAATCCTTTCTGTACTCTGTCTCCCCACTTGCCTGGCTGGATGCAGCTCCAACAACACTCAAGAGGCTGGACACCATCCAGGACAAAGCAGCCCTCTTTGCTGGCATCTCACCCATCAGATTAAACCCTTACTCCCTCCACCAACACATAGTGGCAGCGGGATGTACCATCTACAAGATTCACTGCAAAAACTCACCAAGGCTCCAACAACAGCACCTTCCAAACTCCTGACCTCTACCCCCTCGAAGGACAAGGGCAGCAGATATATGGGAACACCACGCCCTGCAAGTTCCCCTCCAAGCCACTCACCATCCTGACGTGGAAATATATCACCGTTCCTTCACTGTCACGGAGTCAAAACCCTGGCATTGCCTCCCTAAGGGACATTGTGGGTCAACCCACAGCACATGGACTGCAGCGGTTCAATATGGCAGCTCCCCACCACCATCCCCCCCAATCCTGCCCCACGTTACACATTTAAACTGTCCTGTCCCATTGACTAGTGTCATGGAGGTCTACAGCACAGAAAAAAAGGCCATTTGGCCCAGCAAGTCTGTGCTGGTCAAAACCAACCACCTAACTATTCCAATCCTATTTCCTAGCACTTGGCCCATAAGCCCTACTGCCTTGGTGTCACAAGTGCATATCTAAATACTACTTCAATATGATTGAGGGTTTCTGCCTCTCTCACCCTCGCGGACAATGAGTTCTACATTCCCAGCACCCTCTGAGTGAGTGTTTTGCCTCCTATCTCCTTAAACCACCTATCCACTATCCTGAATTTATGTTCCCCCGGTCATTGGTCCCTCCATCAAAGGGAAATGTTTCTTCTTGTCTACCGCGCCTATGCCCCTCATCATTTTATACATCGCAATCACGTCCCCCTCTCCGTCTCCTCTGCTCCAAGGAAAACAACCCCAGTCTGTCCAATCTCTCTCCGTCACCGAAACTCTCCAGCCCCAGGGACAACTTCCCAGTAAGTCTCCCTCTGTCCCCCTCTCCAGTGCTAACACACCCCTCCTATAAATGTGGATTCCAGAACGGCACACAACACACTAGCTGTGGCCTAACCAATGCCTATACAGCCGCTGAGCAGGCCCCTGGGAGTTTCTGTGCCTCAACTGATCTTTAGGTACCCACCAATATGGTTCTCCCAGGGTCTCACGTATAACAGGGCTGTGCTGCACTCTGAACCACATGGAGCTCCACAACAGAAGGGGATGGCTATGGGGAGAGGGCGATGACTGCTCCATTTCCTCAGAGCTAGGGGTGGGCATCCAGAGCTCCCACTGATGTTTGTGTCCGTTGACCTAAATGGCAGGGAAACAGGGCAATAAATGCTGGGCCAGGCAGCAGTGCCCACACTCCATGAAATAAACCTTGATTGGATGACAGCACCTTGGGTTTCTCTCCACCTTGAGAACCGAAAAGTACACTCCCCAATTTATGCAGAAATGGGTCAGAATTACTGCGCTACTCACAGGAACGTAAAGATGGTCAGCTCAGGCAGGTAACACTGGCTGTGTATTCTGGAATATCTCATTTGTGATCAAAAATGACTTGGCATGAAGTCTCTCAGCTCATTTAGAAAGCTATCAATCACTCCGAGAGGCATAGTAAGTCAACCTTGGAGGTTTTTTAAATTGACTGGGTCGTTTGCTTTGGGAGTAATAAGCCTTCGAGCTGTGTACGTTGGGAGTGGACCAGGAAGTTCCATTTCTGCTGCTACATTCTGAGTTTGCATCATATGTAATGACATGACTGCAAGTCACCCATTAATCTTACCCATAATAAACTGGTCTCTGTAGCCTTTCCCAGCCTGCATTTTAAAGTGCTGAAGTTAAAAAGCTTCCCATTACTTGGAATTAAATGTATAGAATGGATTATACACCCTCTTTCGCTTCCGATATATACTATCTTTCTTTCTTGCTCTATGATAGGAGGTGGGCCAGCATTTGTTGCCCAACCCCAATTGCCCCTTGAACTGAATTGCAGAGGAAAGACTTCAAAAGGGACCTAAGGGGCAACTTTTTCATGCAGAGGGTGGTGCGTGTATGGAATGAACTGCCAGAGGAAGTGGGTGGAGGCTGGTACAATGACAACATTTAAAAGGCAGCTGGATGGGGACATGGAGAGGAAGGGTTTAGAGGGATATGGGCCAAATGCTGGTGAATGGGACTGGATTGATTTAGGATATCTGGTCAGCATGGACGAGTTGGACCGAAGGGTCTGTTTCTGTCCTGTATGACCGACTCTGTGGTTCTCTTTCTTTCCTTCCCTGTGGGATGTTTCTTAAAACAATTCTCTTTGATCAACTTTTGCTCTTTTGTCCTAATATTTCACTATGTGGATTGCAGTGTCAAATCATTGTCTGGTTAACGCTCCTATCAAGCACCTCAGGATTGTTTTCTGCTTGCTCTATAGAAATAAAATCAGTGCTACATAAAGGCAAATAGGTGTTGTGTTTAAGCTGCAGGCTGCTCTCAATTGATCCAGGAACTGTTTCATTAGCATTATACAATAGCTGGAGTGTGTAAAATGACTCAATCACAACCCTTTTCAGTTCTTAGAAACAAACCTGGAGCGGTTAGTGACTCTGTAATTGAGTTACGGTTAAGTACACACTAAAACTTCCCAATGCTGGGCCTACAATGATTGGCTCAACTTAGGAAAAAAGCTAAGAGGCACGTTAGGAAGCACAGCACAGTGTGAGGTAATTGTAGGACCCAGGGCTCCTGATAGAGAGCCTTACCTGCTGGGTGCACATAGCCAGGGTTATGCCCCACACAAACCACGAGGCCAATTCTCAGTGTTTTGTCTACTTTTATTCCCATCCGATGTTTTTATAGCAATTCCAACACAATTAAATATTGCTAGGACTCTTTCAAAAGGGACAGTTAACGGGTCAACCATATTGCAGTGGGTCTGAAGCCACGTTTAAGGCAGACCGGGAGAGACTGGCAGATTTCCAAATCAACGAAGTCAAGCAGATGGAGTTTTTTGTTCTCTCTGGGACAACCATCTTTAGCACACCAGACATGGTCAATGCAGATTTATTTTGGAGCTCTCCTTAGACCATGGCGACATTAATCGTAAGACAGAGCAGCAGAAATAGGCCATTCGGCCCATCACATCTGCTCTGACATTCAAATGAGACAGTGGGTGATTTGATCATCTTCAACTTCAACTTCACTTTTCTGCCTTATCCTCAGTGGGCCAAGGAGTGACAGATGGAGTTTGATTGAGATAAAAGCAAGGTGTTGCATTTCAGTAAGACAAACTTACATAGTAAATGGTAGGACCCTGGGAGTGTTGTCAAACAGAGAGACCTGGGGGGTTCATGTGCATAGTTCCTTGAAAAGTGGCTCACAAGGGGAGGAAAACATTTGGCATGCTTAACTTTAATTAATCATAACATTGAATCTAGGAGTTGGGACAACTTATTAGAGCTGTAGAGACATTGGTGAGGCCACATTTAGAATATTGTGCACAATTCTGGTCATTCTGCTACAGGAAGTAGTTCAGAGAAGGTTTACTAGACTAATACTTTGAACTAGCAGATTGCCCCATGGAGGAAAGGCTGGGCCTGTCGCCTCAAGTTTAGAAGAGTTGGAGGGGACTTAATTGAAACATTACAAAATCCTGAGGGGACTTGACCAGGTGAATGTGGAAAGGATGTTTCCTCTTGTGGGAGAATCTAGAATGTGGGGTCAGAGTTTAAAAGTAAGGGGCACATATTTAAAACAAATGAGGAAACAAACATTGAGAATTGAGAGTCTTTAGAATTCTCCTCAGAAATCTGTCAACATTTTGAAGGCAGAGGGAGATAGATTCTTGATGACCAAGGGGATGAAAGAATAAAAATCAGGGGATATGCAGGAATGTAGAGTTGAGGTTAAAAATCAGATCAGCCATGGTCTTATTGAATGACAGAACAGATTCAAAGAGCCAAGTGGCCTACTCTTGTAGATACGAGATCTAGATCACAAATCAGAATCAATTTAAGAGTCTTGTGGCACAGTGGGAGTGACCCTGCTTCTGGGCCAGGTCAGAGTTCAAAGTCAGAGCAGAAATGGCTTGTACACATCCATCGCTACATTTCAAGTCATGAATGATCAGTGCTTTGGGACACAGGACAGTTCTGGTCAGAGAAATTCCCCTTTGCCCACCCCTACACCCATCGAAATATATGGCTGTCCCTAAAAACATTCTGCATTAAAATGGTGCCAACCGTATCAAAAAGTTAAGTAAAAACAGACATTGAGACGGCGCACAACTTAGAAAATATTTATTTTGCCACATGAGAACACCAAAAAAATCTCTCTACACTTGAATATATGAGAAGCCATATTGAAAATAGCATGCAGTCACATTTTACATGCTAAAGAGATCGGAAAGGAAAAAAACTTCAAATTCTACCAAGAGGTCTCCAATTCTCCATTACTGTAGGGAGTTACAAAGTTACAGAGCAGCTGTTGCAGACATAATCCACAGGAGAGGTTGATTAACCTCCAAAACTGCTCATTCTCCACCCTCCACCCCCACCAAAACAACTGTACACTTGGTATATTCCACCCTTACTCCTGTTTAAAATATTTGCTCCAACAGGATCGAGCACATTTATTTTGTGGGGGGGCAGTAGCAGCAAGAGTGAGAGCCTTACCAACACCCACCCTTGCACCACGTACTCCCAACTTCTAAAAAAGTTTTCCGAAGTATAATTTGGAGGATATGCAGCCTGAAGATTTGAGACAGCAACAGACCAAAAAAAAAAAAAAAAAAAATCAGATTCTCATCTTAGAGACAGTGATCTCCAGAAGGTAGTCAGGCAGGCCCCCTTTATTCCCAGAATACATCACTCAAGGCTCTACTGGAACACAGCATCACCCCCAGCACAGGCACCCATCAGCTTAAGGGTGGGGGAAAGAAGGGGCACAAGAAAGAGTTAAATTACTTTCTATTAAAGGATGGACAGGCTGTGTTTTGGAAGACCTCTGACTGTGACACCAGAGCATGCAGGTTTGGCCACTTTGCAGCTGACCAGATGTTACAAATCGCAGCACGGACAAAAATCTTCAAAACAGCTTCAACTGCCACATGCTACAAACAACAATATAAATAGTTGACCTAAAACACAGTTCAGGAGCTCACAGTGTGGAGTCCGATTAATACACACACCATGCTGGCTGAGGATATCTTACACCTCTCTTTATTCTGCACTGTATTCCAGTAATGTAGTTTACAAATCTTACGCACAACACAAAGCCAGAGGGGAAATTCAGATCCCTGCCCTAGATACTGGAGAAAAGTGTGCGTGCGTTAGTGCACTGAAAATTTTAAAGATTCAAGATTGCAAGCTGCACAGTGAGGGAGAAATAAAAAAAAGTTAGTTCCAAGGGCAAAAAAGGAATCACAATCGGTTTTAAAAACATGCATTTTCACAAGTGCTTGAATGAGGCACTGAACAACCCTTTTGCAAGAGCGAAACTTTTTCCAAAGCAAGACTCCAGTTTGCATCTTAGCAATATTTTAGGAAGAAAACAAGAATCCTGATTGGCATAAAACCCAATAGGATGGAGATGGCACAAGATGGTAGCTAGCACAGGCATGGGTCAATTTGAAACGCACAAGTGTGTCACGACTACTAGTCGTCTGAACAGGCGACTAAACCAGTCAAATTATTTGGACCAAAGAGATTGCTCAAAATTCCCTTTAGTTGCTACCAAAAGCTAGAAGAGGTTAATTTAAAAACAAAAAAAAAGGACATTCTTGACCTCCACGCCATAAAATCGATGGCGATATTTTAAATCTTTTAACGTTTTTTCACCACACACCTACAGTTGGCTCCACAAATGGCAATGCAGTCCTTGCTCACAAAACAATAATGGTCAGCACTGAAGTCACTCAAAAAAGGATAAGGTAAGCAGCTGGTTGCCTCAATTCAAAGAGAACATATACACACGTGCTGTCAAATTCACCTGGAACTAGGGGATAGGCCTCATCCAAAATCACGGCCTACAGCATTTTTTTGCAAGGCCTTCCAAGCCAAAATGACCGCCCTGTAGAAGATGCTATTTTACACAAGAAGAGTGTGCCAAATCTTTGTAGTCCTCAGAGGAGGAACGAGGGTGCCCTAAAAAGAAGCCAGCGATGAGCTGTACTTGAGCTGCAATTGGCAAGTCAATACATTTACATTTTAGTATTTATACATTTTTAAAAAAAAAAAATCAAAAGCAGGATAGAAAAAGATACAGACATTTGTTTCCTTTGAAGGAAATAATTTTTCATTGCGATTAACATTCACAGGTGTGGCAAAAATACAGACAAAAATATATAATCAGACAAAAATTGGCCTTTTAAAGATGGAGACTACATTACTTCATAGCCACTTCGAATGCCTTTCATGAGCACACAGGCAAAGATGATACCCAGGACCTGGAAAGAAAACAAAAAAATGAAAGCACTTTAAAAACATCAAAACAACGAACAGCTCATCATTCTCATTAGTACGAGAGAGATCTTGGCACATACAAAATGGCCACCTCATTTGCCTACTGTCGGGGATATTTTCCAACCTCTGCCGTCTTGGCAAGGGTGTTCAACGTACCAAATTCCTGCCCACCCACATCATTTCAATATTGGCATTAGCTCAAAAACAATGCCTTCAGGGAAAGAGAGTATCACACGGCTTGGAAAGTATTAGCTCTTGAAGCACCAAGATGGCAGATTTAAAAAGAAAAATCTCAACCTGTTCTCTGGGAATGGTTGCTTTAAAGTGACAAATCACTTGAGACTTGAGACTTGAGACATGAT